AGCCCTCTGCCCTGACCTCTGAAGCCCCCCACACCCCTAGCCTTCTGCCCTGCACCCCTCCACACCCCTCCAGCCCTCTGCCCTGACCTCTGAAGCCCCCCACACCCCTAGCCTTCTGCCCTGCACCCCTCCACACCCCTCCAGCCCTCTGCCCTGACCTCTGAAGCCCCCCACACCGCCAGCCTTCTGCCCTGCACCTCCACACACCCCCAGCCCTCTGCCCTGACCTCTGAAGCCCTCCACACCCACCCTTCTGGGGTTGTGGGGGACTTCAGAGGTCAGGCCCCACTCAGCCCACTGCTGGTCTAGGTGAACAGTACGCCAGGTTGGCAGCGAGCTGAGCAGGCTGGTGGCGTAAGATCAGCATTTTAATTTAATTTTAAATTAAGCATTTTAAATATTTTGAAAACCTTGTTTACTTTACATACAACAATAGTTTAGTTATATAATATATAGACTTATAGAGAGAGACCTTCTAAAAACGTTAAAATGTATTATCGGCATGCGAAACCTTAAATTAAAGTAAATAAATGAAGACTCGGCACACCGCTTCTGAAAGGTTGCCTACCCCTGTGCTAAACATTCATATGCCCCTTCATGCTTTGACCACCATTCCAAAGAACTGTAGACTTTGTATTCTGTGTTGTAATTGAAATCAGTATATTTGAAAATGTAGAGACTATCCAAAAATATTTAAATAAATGGTATTGTATTATTGTTTAACAGTGCAATTATAACTGCAATTAATCACGGTTATTTTTGTATCTCGTGATTAATTTTTTTAGTGATTTGACAGCCCTAATTTAAATTTGTCTTTCGAACTGTAGAGCAGCATTTAAATCCATCAAATTGTATTGATATAGAATGATGTCTATTCCTTTCATTGATGTGCACACACATCTCCTATTAATTAAAATTAGGGTGACCAGATGTCCCAATATTATAGGGACAGTCCTGATATTCGGGGCTTTTTCTTATATGGGAACCTATTACCCCCCACACTCTGTCCTGATTTTTCATATTTGCTGTCTGGTCACCCTAATTAAAATTAATAGCTGTGAATGTGAATATCAATGGGAGAGAAACGTAGAATAACTCTGTCTTCAGTTTTTCTACATGTTTATTCCTTTTGAAGTTTGACCAGAAAGAAAAGACCACACTGCTGGGGAACAGAAAAGACTACTGGGATTACTTCTGCGACTGTCTGGCTAAAGTCAAAGGAGCTAATGATGGGATCCGCTTTGTTAAGTCTATTTCAGAGGTAAGTAAAGCAGACTGATTAATTATCACAATAGGCAGTTCATGTTTCTGCATGTCCATTGGGAGAGCTACAGAACTCAAAAGAAAAGTAGGAGAAGGAATGGGACTTTTTTCTGTCTTTGCAGAATGTAAAACCAAAAGATAAGTGATGCCTATTGTTCATCAAATTTCTTAGGGCTAGATTGCACAATCATTATGCATGTTGGTGTGCTCTTCCTTGCAGGTGTAATCCCATTGACCTCAGTCAAGTCCTGAATTATTTTAAATTACATTGGGCAGGAATGGTGTCCCTAGCCTTTGTTTGCCGGAAGCTGGGAATGAGTAACAGGGGATGGATCACTTGATGATTACCTGTTCTGTTCATTCCCTCTGGGGCACCTGGCACTGGCCACTGTCAGAAGACAGGATACTGGGTTTAGATGGACCTTTGGTCTGACTCAGTAGGGCGTTCTTATGTTCTTATGTGTTTTCAGTTCTACTAGAAAAAGAAAACATTTGATAAATGGTGGGCAAGGTCTCTGTTTAGGGTTAATGCCTACGATTTAACAATGGGGATACAACAGAAATAAAACAAGGGGGCAGTTCCTGCCCTCATGTGCACAGGTTCCCTGAGGGCAGGATTTGATTGAATGCAAGAGGAAAAAGTAGTAAAGTTTTGCCATTCTTGTCACTTTCCTGTTGATCAATATGGTTGAATGGGAGTCCCTGAGTAGAGAATTTGGTTTTATGTCTATACTCACTTAATGCTTGCGCAGTGTGTTGAAGATATAAAATACCATGTGACTCTTGAGGATTAAGATTATTGTTATCGCTTAAGGTGAGCTGACATGAAAGGACTCAAAGTGAAATGGTTCTTATTGGGCTAAGCAAAGTACATGCTAGCAAGTAACACAGTAATAAAGCCTAAATCCAATATCAACAGAGTAGCAAACCTTAATCTCTACATCTATTAGTCAGTGAGGTAAACACTGCAAGAAGTATTTAATGTTGATCCTTTCTGAGTCATTAGAGTAAATTTAAATCACCCGAATAAGGACTTTCCCCATGGGTAAGTGGAGCATTGTTGTTGGCTCTGCTGATTGTTGTCCTGATGCCTGGTTTTGATGACTCCTAGGCTATTTTATTCCCAGGCTGCACTTGTTGATAAAGAAGTTTTCATCTACTCTGTCAGAACTTCCTGACAGCAGCCTTGACTGCTGTCATCATGCAACTTCTCAGGATGATCAGAGAACCAGCCATGAGGCTAGCATGGCTGCCCCTAGCAGCCCCTATGTTCCCCGTCCCACTTCTTTCTCCTCATCCCCTTCCTACAGTCTTCCATTTGGTTTCAGGGGAACCTCCTCTCCCCACCCAGCCTTCTGTCTTGGCTTTGGAGTATGAAACATTTCCCCAACCCCTCTTTCTCCAATCTCCTCTTTCAGCTCCAAATCCATCTTCTTCCCATGGTTCTTTAAATGAAAATTCCAGTGCATTTATATTGTACAGCTAGATGAACACCAGATTCTAATGCATCTTGTTTGGCTGCACATATTTGGAGGGGCAGAGACACCAGAAACCTTCCACCTCCACTTGTACAGCCAGGCAAGAGCTTCCTCCAATGAGCTCGTTTGATGCATTGCTTTTTCCATCCCTATGATACTTGTACTTGAATTTTGGTTTGACAGCAGAGACATAACTAGTTATAAATTCTGTCTCTTCTCTATCCACTGGATACCAAAATCTTCCTTGTTTGCCTTAAGATTTCTGTCCTTTTTTAAAAACTATGTAAGATGTTGTGATGTTCTCCTCTGGTGTTATCTGGACCAGTGATCTGCATGGTCACTCCAATCCTTGACTCTGGGAACCAGCTTTACCCTGCTCTGCTGTGAGAACCCCCACTCCTGGGCTGTTCACGCACAGCCTCTGGCATGTAAGCTGCTCCCAGCTACTTGCAACCGAATGACACTAGCCAATATCTCTGGTCCCAGACACAACCCTAGGAACCTCCGTCTTGCAGTGTCCAGTTATGCCCGCTGGACGCTGCAAGCTTATAGGAGTTCGTCAATTTAACAAAGAAATTGATATGCACCAGGCTTTTTATCCCAAGGGGAGTCTCTGTCATGCTTCAAACCAAACGCACTGTTTCAGGTAGAATAAACAGATTTATTAACTATAAAGATAGATTTAAGTCATTATAAGTCAAAGCATAACAAGTCAGATTTGGTCAAATGAAATAAAAGCAAAACACATTCTAACTGATCTTAACACTTTCAATGCCCTTACAAACTTAGATGCTTCTCACCACAGGCTGGCTGGTTGCTCTTCAGCCAGGCTCTCCCTTTGATCAGCACTTCACTCGCTTGGTGTGGTGTCGGTAGATGTAGGTGGAAGAGAGAGGAAGAGCATGGCTAATGTCTCTCCCTTTTATCATGTCCTTTCTTCCCGCTTGGCTTTGCGCCCCCCCTTCAGAGTCAGGTGAGCATTACCTCATTGCAGTCCCAAACTGACCAAAGGAAGGGGGGTGACTCCCTTGAGAGTCTAACAGATTATTTTGTTGCTGCCTAGGCCAGCATCCTTTGTTCCTGTGAGGCTGGGCTGGGTTTGTCCCATACCTGCCGTGATGAGGTGTGAACTGCCCCTCTGTTCTTGGAGAGTTTTTGCCTGGGCTTATTTTAAGCCATGAGAATACATTTTCAGCCTCATAACTATATACATGAAATTATAACCTATAACCTTACTATAACATTACTGTAACAATTACTATAACATCACTATAACAACCATGCTCAGTGCATCATGAGCCTCCCGAAAACACCCAACATGACAAACTTTGCATTGGATACCACACAATCATTTTATAAAGATGAACATGGGGGTGTAGGGTGCTCCCCCAAGATACAGAGCGTCACAGATGTCCTTAAGTTTCAGCATTTAAAAATATGTTTTATGTTCTTTAATTTCATAATAAACGCAGCTTCATGTAGTTGTTATGGTTTGACTGTGTCAGAAATTTCCTGTTTCACTTTCTATGGAGCCACAGAAATTTGCAGTTGGAATGATTTTTTAAAATCATTTTGTTTACTTGCGGTTTATGATTTAAAAAAAAATCAGTCAGCTGTTTCAGGTAACACGTTTGTCGGATTGTGTTTTTGAAATGAAACCGCAGAAGTCAGAGGAGTGAACTCCGCTATTAAGATATTTGGGGAGGGTGTCCCTCAGGGTCACCCCTAATATCATTTCCTGGAGCCCAATTGCTATACATGTTCTTGGCATATGTGCATAGAAACATTAATAGCTGGCTTGTCAATGTGCCATTTATATATGTTTATAATTGGTGCTTAAAGGTTATCTTCCTGTGGCTTGTTTTTCGCAGCTCAGAACATCTCTTGGTAAAGGAAGAGCATTTATACGTTACTCCTTAGTACACCAAAGGCTGGCAGACACCTTGCAACAATGTTTTATGAATACCAAAGTAACAAGGTAAATGCAAAAGTACTGTTGTGATGCATGGGTGATATCTAGAGATGAACAAACAGTGAAACATGGGACTGATTCAGTGCCGTGTGAAATAAATGGAAAACCTTCCATGTGGTTGGCTCAGAGGACTGATAATAGGGTATAAAGCAGAGGTGAGCAAACTACAGCGGCCCGCGGGACCATCCTGCCCGGCCCTTGAGCTCCCTGCCGGCGAGGCTAGCCCCAGCCCCTCTCCCATAGTCATGCTGCCGTGCGGGCAGTGCTGTGGGCGGCAGGGTTGTGCGCTCCTGCTGAGCAGCGTGGCAGGATGTCTGTCTCTGGCCAGGCAGTGCGGCTGCCAGACATGCTGCTCTGAGCGGCATGGTAAGGGAGCCAGGGCCGGGGGGTTGGATAAGGGGTAGGGGGATTCCAGGGGGTAGTCAGTGGACAGGGAGCGGGGGGCGGTTGGATGGGGTGGAGGTTCTGGGGAGTGGTCAGGGGACGGGGGAGGGGTTGGATAAGCGTGGGAGTCCTGGGGGGCCTGTCAGAGGGCGGGAGTGTGGATAGGGGTCAGAGCAGTCAGGGGACTGGGAGCAGGGGGGCTAGGTAGGGGGTGGAGTCCCTGGGGCGGTTAGGGGCGGGGGGGTCCCGGGAAGGGACAGTCAGGGGACAAGAAGTGGGGGGTCGGATGGGTTGTGGGTTCTGAGTGGGGCAGTCAGGGGGCGGGAAGTGGGAAGGGTTGGATAGGGGGCAGAGGCCAGGCAGTTTTGGGAGGCACAGCCTTCCCTACCCAGCCCTCCATACAGTTTTGCAACCCCAATGTGGCCCTCGGGCCAAAAAAGTTTGCCCACCCATGATATAAAGCCTGTGTAATCTAGGTCACTGTTTCACACCTGTCTTAGGTCAGTAAATATTGACAGTTGTTCAGTGGCCTATATGAAATGACAGGTTTCAGAGTAGCAGCCGTGTTAGTCTGCATCCACAAAAAGAACAGGAGTACTTGTGGCACCTTAGAGACTAATAAATTTGTTAGTCTCTAAGGTGCCACAAGTACTCCTATTCTTTATATGAAATGAGTTTCTGGTCCAAGTCCAGTTCCTCTTAGACCAGGGTCAATATTGCAAACTGTTTTTACAACTGGTCCTAGTCTGCACCTTTGTTAATATTCTCAGGAGAGGGGTCAAGGAGCAAATGGGCATTGAAACTAAACTATCCTTTCATCTTTTAGAGGAGCGAGGGTTGAGGCAAAATAGCGGGGTTGTGTGGGGAAGCTTGCTTTGCTGCTGTCCCTTCTTATAATTTTGGAAGGTAGAGTAATGTAGCCTTCAGGGCTGTCAATATGGCACCTTTATAAAAGATAGAAAGTCACTGAAATTTAAAACATAACCACTTGCACTAGGACTTGTTTTTCTGTCCAAGTTTTCTGCTTTTCCATACTTGTTGGTCAGAGCAAAGTAATGATGATAAACATCAGAGTTTAGCATCTGTAACTTGGGAGACCCTACAAAAGGGGTTTTTGAACCTCGAGTTCATTATAAAGCAGAGTACTTTGTGCCTGGAACATTAAAAAACTATATGGTGTTTTGTGCATGGTACTTACACACCTTAAATTTTCCAATCTTTACAAGTGCTGGACATCTGGGTTCAGATATGGCCAAATTCATATGTGGACATGAATTTGGAGGTAGTGCACAGAGCCCCAAATGATAACTGTGTACATCACTAAGTATCACATGGTGTGGTACAATGTAACCTGTTGTTGTCTTTCTGGTCAAGAAAAACCAAAGACTGGAATAGCAAGAGTTTAGCAAGTCAGGATGGATATTCATGGAGCTTTCACAGAAAAGCTTTCAGTTTTTATCTTCCTTTTCAATGTATCTAATTCTGACTGCTGCTACCAGTCACTTGTTGTCATGAGCATTCAATTTACTCACATTCAAAACATAAATGTGAGCTTACAGAGTACCATGTGAGTATCCATTATACGGCAAATCCTTCACCCTCTCCAGTTGCCTGCCCGAGCCCAGAGTAAAAATGTTTTGTGCAGGGTTTCTCCATAGGAGGAATCCATAAGCTTCATTAGCTCCTACTGCCACCAGGAGCTGCCCTCACTCCCCACAAAGAGGTTGTGGGGGGGGAAGGGAGGGCAGTGGATCTGATTGATGTCTATTGCATTTGCAGTGAATCCTCATAATTTTTATGGGAAGTAACAAATAATGTTTCATTTTCTTGAGAATGTTGCAGGCGCTCCTCTTTTATGTATTACTCCGTGCCATTTGATTCTTCTTTTAGTGACTGGTACTATGCAAGAAGTCCATTTCTGAAGTCTAAAATGAGTTCTGACATTGTGGGTCAACTCTATGAGTTAACTGAGGTTCAGTTTGACTTGGCATCAAGAGGGCATGACTTAGATGCTGCTTGGCCAACATTTGCCAGGTAATGTAGTAAAACTTTACTGTTTTCGATACAGTTAGAGCCATAACACACATTCTGTGACTTGCAAAAACTTCTGCAACTTTTCTATTTAACGTAAAAAGGAGGCATAAGCTTTCACCTTGTAACATCTCTGCAGCCAACCTGGACTTCATGGTCATTACTGGGCTGAATGCCAGCGTCTGATCTGATGCTCATTCAAGTCTGAGAGTTCTTCCACTGACTTCAGCAGGCATCAGCTCAGACCCGCCGGGGTCTGTTTACATCTTCACAGTGACGATGAGATGTTAACTTGGGTCCCTCTTTTCCAAAAGCTGTGTCCTCTACCAGCTGAACTAACCATGAATCTCTTTCATTTGAGCAGTAAGAGAACTCATGACACACACCTGTTTCAGCAGGCCTGCTTCTGCTTGAAAGAGGGTAATCCTGCATGTAGGGGTTGATCCAGCTCCACTGAGGTCTGTAGGAGTCTTCCCATTGATTTCAATGAATGTTGGATCAGGCCCCATGCACTCTAGCCAGTAGGACATTGCCATATCCATTGGTTATAACTAAAAGAATCCATAAAGTCAGAGCAGACAATTATGTGTGTGTGCGCGTTTAGCCATTATTAAAAGATTTCTTTTTTGTTTTTTCTTGCGGTCTACAGGAGGACATTGTCCTCACATGGCTCTTCAGCATATTTGTGGAAGCCTCCAAGTCGCAGTTCAAGCATAAGTAGTTTAGTGAGCAACTATTTGCAGGTAATTGAATGACAAAGAAGTGCATGCAATATAGACCACATTTCCTTAACATCAAAGATCTTTAGGCCTGGGAGCTGTATAACACCTTGTGACTTTAGTGGGAAACTACAAAAAACTTACAATAAATATAAAGGAGAATTGTCCCATAACTGTGTGAGGGGATGGATAGACGGTACACTGATGAAGAAGGTGCCAGAGAGGCCCTGTGTACCACCCATCTGTCCCTCTCAGTCAGAGGTGGTAGGAAGGAAGCCTTTAAAAAGGAGGAAACTGCAGGCAGCTGGCAGGAGAGATCACCCTGAGCAGGAAATTGTGACTCCTGACACCGCAAGGGAGCTTCCATCCAGGAGATCTCCACCCCCGGCCCTGTGGGGAGTGCACCGAACCCCAGTATAGGCTTGACAGAGTGACCCTGATTCAGTAGCCCAGGCAGCAGGTCTCCACGAAAACTGCTACACAGATAGCACTGAAACAAGAAGGTCCTGTTTGCCTTTTTCCCTTTCAGTTGGATCAAGGAAGAAGTTATTCTTGGGGTGCTGAGACATTTAATTTTCCTTTTATGTCCTCCATCAGAAGAGATTTAAGAAGGCCTGCAGAGGGTGGGGTCCCCGCTTTGCAAGGACTAGGAAACTGGGGCCTGTGTTTAAGCCTCTGGGTGTGGCCAGGGTCTCCCATCACCTGGGAGAAAAACCTGAGAGGACTCTTTTTACAAGTTGATTAAACCTAACATTTAAGTCGTCTTTAAAAAAAAAACGAAAAACAAACAAACCCCCAAAGCTTACAAAATCTCATGAATAGAAAGGTTTTCATTAGTATCAACGAAAATAGCCTGCTTTCCTTTCGCAGTTTTGTGATTCCAACCACAACAGCACTGTGCTAGCATCTGAGAACCAGAAAGTGAAATTATCCAAGACCCCCAACACAGCAAAGCACTTTAACTATATATTAAAGTCAATAGGATGTAAGCGTGTGCTTAAATGCATTGCTGAATCAGGGCCACAATACAAACTGGTGTAACATCACTGGCTAAGATGCATAATATACAAAGAGTAAATAAATAATGAAAAGAACTTTATTTTGTTCTGAGACGTCAGACGCTGGAGTGCTGAGTCCTACAGAAATGCTTATAAATGAATAAAAGTAATTAATAATCAAGGGGACTAACAGTAGCATGGATTAGGATTTTTTTAATATTGATTTTTATCTTGACAGCATCCCTTAAATATTCATTTTATTGTTACCACCACCACCAGGTATTAATCAACAAAAACAGTTAAGCTATCACTGAGTCCTGGAATATTCATAATCTTTCATGTATAAAAATACAGTTTCCAATTTAACTTTTCTGTTCTTCCCTTCCCGCCCTCTTAGACACAAGAGTTTCCAGGTAGCCCTGATGCAAATAACTCACTAAATGCTGAACACGTGGAGGGCTTTGAAGAGATGCGTGTGGAACTTGACCAGGGAGAGCTGAGGCAGAGGGAGCTGCAGGACTGGATTAATCAGCTAGAGAAGGAAAACCAGGAGCTGCAGGCAGCCGTCAGCCTTCAGAAAGAACAAGTGCAAGTGGAAAAGGAAAAGAGCAGCAACTTCAGAGAGGAGAACTCCAGACTGACAAAGACGATAGCGGAGTTACAGAAACAGTGTGAGGTTTCCCACTCCACTCAGAGCACTGTTCATGACCTACAAAAATGTGTGCAGGCATTAGAAGTGAATGCAGCCGAGCAGCAAAAGGAATACCACACAAGGCTTGAGCAAATGGAGTCGAGTAAGAAGGACTATGCCTCAGAACTGCAGCTCTTGAATCAGGAGCTGGAAACCACCAGGGCTTCGGTCAGCATGAAGGATCTCCGCATCAGTGAGCTCCAGACGAAGCTAAGTTCAACAGAGCAGAAGAATCTAGAGCTCATTGCAAAAGTCGATGCCGTCTTGGATGAAAAAGGACAACAAACCTCCACCCAGTATGAGACTACCCTAAAGATCCAGGAATTGCTGGAGAAACTTCACCAGGCAGAAAAGGAAAAGGCTGACATCCAGAAACTAAATAACGAACTTCTGTCTCAGGTAAAGACAGCGAGAGAGGAACTGCAGCTGAACGAGGGGGCACAGAAAGAACTGGAATCCAGATTTAGTTGCCTCGCCACGGACTCCAAAAAAGAGAGTGAAAAACTGCTCATGAGCCTGGAAATGATGGCAAAGGAAATGGATACAGTTCAGGAGGCGCTGACTGTGAAAGGAAAGGAGGTGGCTGAACTCCAGATCCAGCTGAAGGGTTCACTGGCTCGTGTGGGGTCGCTGGAAAAAAATCTTGAAGAGACCAGAAGAGCAAAAGAGAATCTTCAGGAAGAGTGCAGCTGCAGGGAAGCTGTGCTGAAGCAGGAAGCCAGAACCTTGGCAGAGCAACTTGAGCTGCGGAAGGATCATTTATCAAAGCTGAGTCAGAACGTGCACAGCCTAGAGGAGCAAAACCAAAAACTCCTCTCCAGCAACGATCACCTCCTCCAGAAGGTAAAGGACATGGAGGAGCTCGCAGGACAGCAAAGCTTGGCACTGAACGAAATTGGTGAAGAAAGCAAGAAACTGAAATCTGAGAATGTAAATCTGCACCAAACCGAGGAGAAGATGAAAGAGAAGCAGAAAAACCTGGAGGCATCTAAAGCCTCTTTGGAAGCTGAGCTGGCCAGGCTGAGGGCATCGGAGAAACAGCTCCAGAGTCAGATTGACGATGCCATGGTGTCGGTGGATGAAAAAGAGAAAAAGCTCCGGGAGCAGAACAAACAGTTGCATGAAGACTTGCAGAATGTCACAAGGCAAAATCAGATCCTGGAAGAGAGGCTACAGTCTCTGCATTCTGAATACCAAGAACTGAGGCAAAGAGAAGATACCATCAAGGAGTCTTTAGCTGAATTGCAAACAGAGCACAAGAGTGCCAAACAGCATGGTTTACGGATGGAAAAGATTCTGTTTTCCTTGAAGGAATGTGAAGAGTCTCTTAGGTCACAGGTTACAGAGAAAGATGTGACACTGCAAGGCATAGAGAGCCAATGCAAGCAGCTACAGGCAGAAATTGAGATGTACCGAAAAAAAGCGGAGTCTCTTGAGGTGGAAAAGCTAAGTATGGAAAAAACATGCCTTCATCAAATAAAATTGATTGAATCCCTTACTGGAGAGAAGGATTCAGTGGAGAAGGCCCAGCTGGAGCAGGCAGCATGTCAGGAGAAAGAGGCACAAGAGTTGGCTTCCAGGCTAGCCGTGTCTGAAAAGCAGCTGCACATTAACCAGAGTGAAGTGTCCAGGTTGCAGGCAGAAGTGATTGACCTTCGAGCCAAGCTTCAGCAGACAGCTGATGAGAGAGAGAGGGTGCAAGGCAAGCTGGATGTCACAGAGGCAGTTTTGGGGGAACAAAAGACACTGGTCCAGCAGCTGAAAGAGCAGAGTGAGTCACTCAACAGCAACCACGTGCAAGAGCTGGTACAGTGTAAAGAAAGAGAGGAAACTCTGAAAAAAGAGCGGGAAAGGGAAGCCCATCAAAAGGCTGAGCTGGAGAAGAATGTGCTGAGTCTCGGGGAAGAGCTGTCCAACGTTAAGCAGTATTTGGAGACTGTTAAAATGGAAAATGTAGAAACCAATGACCTGCTCCACAGAACCAACACTGACATGGCTGAACTTGGTATTCAGATCTGTACCTTGACCTCTGAGAAGGGGGATGCAGAAGAGAAGCTGGCCCGGGTCACTAAGAAGCTCAGGGAATTGGGTGAGCAAGCAGCAAAGGAGCAGGAGAGGCTGCAACTTGACATCTCCACGCTCAGGCAGGAGAACCAAGGCCTGACAGAGAAACTAAAGGAGACTCAAGTATGTGTTGCCGCTGTTTCCAGCCTGCAAACACAGCTGGAGGTGGCAGCGAAACAGGCCCAACGCTGCCAAGAGACCAGCGAAGAAGAGCTGTCTGCAATAAAATTTCAAATGAGCACAGAGATTATAAATTATCAGACAAAATTCAAGGTAAATAAATATCATATTCTACATTCTACATGCTTGACAGTGTTCACTGACGTGGTAAGGAGGAGAAATTCCCTCCTCTGCAGGAATTACGGGGTGAAATGGCCTGCATTGTGGAGGTCGGATAATCGCAACAGTCCCTTCTGGCTTTAATCTAAGCACATATGAATTTAGGGGGGATTAGTCCCTAACGCCCACTGAGCCTTGCTCTGCAATGTGCTAAGCAACTTTGATTTCCCTTGCTGTCTAACACTGAACCAGTTATATCCTCTTTACTACACTGGGTCAGCAGAACAAGGCTATGGATGTGTGAACCTCCTTTCTTTGCAGAATATTGAAAAGATGGTTTTCAGACCCAATGGTTGCTCGACTTTCATGAATATTACTCATCAAATAACTATGAATATTTCAGCTTACGATTTGCCATTATTTAAAAGTACCTGTAATACAATGGGCCCAATACTGCAAGGTGCTGCATACCTCCTGCACAGGGCTGAGTGCCCTCAGTTCCCATCGATTCCCTGATAACAGTAACACCCATACTGGCACTCTCCCAAAATCCAGTTACAACCCAACATCCGCCCACTCATGAAACCAAAATAAGATGCTCACAGTAGATTGTGCAACTCTGATCAGATGAACCCTTTCTTCTCTATCCTTGTATGCAATGATCAGCAGTGAAATAGTTAATATTTGTAACATTTACATTGTCGTTAGGCTTTAGTATCAACATCTGTTGATATGAATAAGAGCAACTCACCCCTCTGTTAGAGGCACTGTTTCAGGCAGTCTGCAGACTCTGACATATAGTACAGCACAGGTTACACTGAGTTCACACATCTATTTGAACATAAGGGCTAGAGGCCCATGGTGGGATTTTCAGAAGTCTGAGTGTGGGCCTGGCTCCGCTCCTATTGCAATCAATGTTGATTTCAGTGAGATCAAAGTTAGAAATCCCAGCCTGAGTGGTAATTTTACTGTACAAGATACAGCCACCGAGATAAAAGTCTAGTTTCAGGAAGCGGTCACGAGTCACCCTGATTCAACTCTGGATCATGTGGGGAGAAATTCCTGAAAGATAAAGAACTGTGTGTCGGTTACTGCAGCTATGAGCCTAAGGCTGCCAGTTGATCAGACTTACACACTTCTGTGTAGGCTGAGATTCTTCTAACGTCGAAAAGTGGTGTGCGCCTACTTTCTTTGCCCACAGAGCATCTCCTAATTCCCAGAATGACTTGTGCTCCCTTTGTACTTTCAACACAACATTTACATGTCTAGCAAGTTGGGCCATTTTTGTTATGGCCCATAATAATTGCCTGAAAAACATCATCTGACTACCACAACGGGGGACTTTTTCCATGAATTAGGCCCCAAGATTCCTGGGATGGTCATTTGAATTGGTCTGCCATCAGCCACGCAGAGGGCCAAATTTATCCCTGTTGTAACTCCATTATAATTAATGGATTAATTTGGCCCAGTATATTTTAATTGTCCATGCTGCATCAACAGGAAACTTTAAAACTGGGTGATGACTTTTATGTGAACTCTAACAAGTGCTTTATTGACTACACTAGGCTGTCAGTGAAGAATGCGAGAAAGTAAAAGAGCAGCTTGAGGAGCAGAAACGACAGCTGTGTGCTGCAGAGGAAGAGATTGCAGAGCTTCACGTAGGTGCTTAATCTGATTACAATAAAGAAATGTGCTAAAGTATTTGCATCAATAGTCACTTGTGTTAGAATTTACAAGGCAGGGGACTTGTCTGGCAGCTGGCTGGGAGCATGAGAATGCACTTGAACAAATAATAGACATGCAGGTCAAAATTCTCAGACTAGGGGGAGATTTTCAAAGGCACAAATAGCAGTTAAATACTGAGGTTCTCACCCCCTGAACCAGATGACTTTTACTTAGGTGCCTAAATACAAATATAGGGGTGTACCCAAGTCTGAAAATGTTACCTCTAAAGTTTAGATAATAGAAGGTGCTTTTTCACTTCCTTTCATATTTAACTCTGTTTTAATGAAGAAGCCACAAACTTGACATTTTCCCCCTCATGATAATTTAGTTTCTTTTAAACTTTTTGTTTTCCTATTGAAGCACTTATTTCAGACTGTGAACTAGTTTTAAATACTGATGTGGTTTATTCTTTCATCATTGTATTTGGGACTTTATTCTTTGATAAAGAGACAAAAGCCACTCAAAGCCCTTCTGCTGTGGCTAATAAGAATTACTGGCATGGTTTAATACTTTACAATTGATCCCTTATTCAATGTGACATAAGTAATCAATCCCCAGTACACAACTTATTAGTGTCTGATTATTCAATAATAATGTTTTAATTAATGGTTGGACTTCTTAAACTCCCCTATCAAAGCATTGTTTGGGTGACATAGTAACTAAGTTACAGTTGTAACAGTGATGTTTTTGTATGTTAAATAGAAATATTTCTATTCTTGTGCTAGGCTGTAAACACTGATCTGTCTAGCAAACTGGAGCGTGCAACAGAGCAATTGACTGAATATGAATCCACCAGGTTAAAAAAAGACGAGGAGGTGATGTCACTGAAAAAACACTTGGAGAGGTTAGCACTTTGGTTATTTCACTTGTACTGTTTGTAAGAAGCCAAATAGGAGATAAGTCATCATAGTGTGTACACCATATTGTTGTGTACAGCATATGAGGCAGGGGAGAGAATACGTAAATATTGAGTAGGAAATGTTAAGTGGCCTGTCAGATGAAAAACATGGAAATTACACAGAATACAGCTTCCCTTTGTTCACTTAGCTGATGATCTATAGTCATCGCATTTCTTGTTTCCTTTGTGAAACTATTCGACGTGTTGCTAGGCTTTGTAGCATGGGTTAGATGCAGCATTCAAAGTCCAGGAATGTTGACTGCTGTTTAAAAGAGGACTGGAACATTTGCACTGCATTTTACATGGAGGGTGTGTTTTAGTTTTGCCCCCTGTGGTGTCTCAAGAGTAAAGTAAGAATTGCTGTTGAAGGGAACACACTGTGCAGCTCTTGCTCAGGCAGGTCTCCTATTGAGTTCAATGGGCATTTTGCCTGAGTAAGGACCTGGTGACAAATACTGGCGCTAAATGATTTTGCAGCACAGAGCTGGGAGGACAAAGCCAGCCTGGCCTGACTCCAGGGCTCTGGATCTCTGCTTGGATTAAGAATGAGGGGAATCCTTTCAGGGATGGCTGCATAACACCTACATGGCCACCAAACTCTGCCCCATGCCTTGAGGCAGGAGTCTGTGACTCTGTCTCATTGGGCTCTGTGATTTCAGCTCTGGGAGGGCAGGCCCCCCTGGTTATCAATCAGCTAGATGGGTCCAGAGGATAGTCAGCTACGGAATGGAGCTGTCAGCTGGAGAGTGCACAGTGTCCATCAGGGCAGTTCTCGCCATGGAGACTGCAGGTAGGGGTGGGAGGACACAGTACTCCCCAGGATGCTTCACACCCCAATAAAAGTACAGTTATTGGGCCATATGCTCAGCTGGTATCAATCAGTGTTGCTCCATTGGGGCAATAGAAACAGCAAGTCTCAGAGCCGGGATCTGCAGTCTCAGGCTCGCTCGACGGCACTAAAAATAGCTGTGTAGATGTTTGGGGTTGGATTGGAGCTTGGGCTCTGAAGCCTGGGGAGCGGGGTGGGTTTCAGAGCCCAAGCCCAAATGTCTACATGGCCATTCTGAGAGCTGTAGTGTGAGCCCCATAAACCCGAGTCTGTAGACCTGGGCTCTGAGACGCGCTGCCGTGGATTTCTGCTTACTCTGTAGATATGCCCTCAGAGTCCTCATTTATATGGAGACTCTGCCCCTCAGCAACTTGATGAGCTCTGGTCATGGAGCAGATCTGCACTGAGCCTGACCTTGTGCGGAGCTGTTACCTGGAAGTAAGGAGCTAATGCTTATCTTGCTCCCATGTAAAAGAGAGTTGAGATATGGAGCCTGAATGAGGACTTCAGAATTGGGGCCCTTAATTCCTTTTTCAGATTTCTGTTTGTACCCACTCTAGTTTCTTACAACTAAGTGTGCACTGGTTTCTATTTTGTGGGCCAGATGCTCATCTGGTGTCAACTGAAGTAGTTCCATGTATAAATCAGTGTCCACTGATTTCAAAACTGAGTGTCTGATCTGGTGAGTTCATCCCTTGTGCCAACTGGGAGTCTATTGATTAAGTTAATTAGACTGTAGTCTGTCAAGTTTACCATTGAGACTGTGAGTAATTCTCTAGTTTTAAATTGCTCTATTGACTGAAATTAATACACCAGAAATTAAATCAAACCTCATTAAGTCTTTCACTCTGTCCACTTGAAATCTGAGGCAAATTTGTCTGGATGAGACTCTCAAGTGAAGTCATATTAGCAGAGCTTATCAATATTTCTTGTACTCAGTGGTAAAGGGTTTTTAGCTGCTTTGTAAATTTTTTTGTTTTGTGGTACTGCAAATTAATAGCATACTTAGTAGACCTTTTGTGAACATGTAAACCACTGATATGTTTATACTCTGGATTGTCCTCTGTGCCCAGTCTGCAGGGGATATGGGTCTTTACAGACTCACCCAGAGAGCCTTGGCTCTTAGCTTAAGCTGTAGCAGTTCATGCTACCTGGTTCAATCCCTGGTGTGCAGCCAAGAGGGCAGCCATCACAAACACAACTGTGAAAAGGGAGCAGGAAATAGTACCTTCATCCCCAGAAGTTACTGATTGTCAAAGGTGCCCACAGGTAATGTATCTATGCACAGCTTCCAAAGTGTCAAAAAACTAAAGCACGTTGTTCTATATAATATTGTGTTCACACTGAGAAAGACTTCACTAAAACTACAGATTTCGTCAAGATAAATGGCAGAAGGGACTTCTTTAAGAACAATGAATTTGCATTTAAACAGGACCCAAAAGGAAGTTGACAAAGCGAATGAGCAAGTCAAAGAGTACGGTGACAAACTCAACAAGGCGACAGCAGACAGAAACAGCAATGATCAGAAGTTGTTGGCCGAGCTAGACGATCTAACTAGAACAAAGCAATTCCTCGAAGAACGTTTGATAGAACTTCTCAGGTTGGTATTAAAAAAATAATTTATAGGTTCTATTGTGGAGGATTTTAAATGGTGCTGTGTGGAGAGATTAATCTTTTATTCCTGAACAGAAAATAAATGTAATGGCCAAATTCTGTGACACAACATTGGCAGTGAGGTTCAATGGTTAGGGCACATTATGAAAAGTAAAATAGACAAAATGTGATCTAGCTCTTTCTCTGCTTGTATCTGTTTTGCAAAGTCCATGTCATTCTATATATAGCATATGTTTTTACCCCTCCCTCGCCAAAACTGTTTCAATATTTTTTTCTAGCAAATATTTATCTCCAGTATCCATCACTTACAGAGAGCACCTGACAGGCTACCCTGGATAAGGGACTGGGCTGGGACCAAATTGTTATTCAGAGAACGATGCTGACTGGTGCATTGTGGGGAAATGGAGGGTGAAAAATATGAGAAAGGCTCTGCCCACTGCTCACCCATGCCTCATTCACTCGCGTGGTTGTGGGAGTAATAGCTCAGCAGCAACTGCCGTCCCACCTACATTCTGATCCATAATATGGGTAGCCCACGCAGGGAAGCAAGGAGTCATCTCACTCCCTTAATTAGGGTTACCATATTGTGTGCCTCCAAATGGAGGACACTCCACGGCCCCCGGCCCCGCCCCCATCCCCGCCCAACCCCGCCCCCTCCCCAAAGTCTCCGCCCCCTCCCCTGCTTCCCGCGAATATTTGATTCGC